AATTTAACTGTTGGATCTGTAGGTTCCCAACCACAATGGCAGCACCAAACCAAACCCTTATAGTTCCTTAAATCTAAAGCAATATAGTCATAAAGGAACAAATAAATAATACGCACAGAGAGAGAGAGGCTCTCGAAGAACAAGGCATGGAACAAGGAACTAGAAACACCAAGGCTGTGGATGTAGCTAGCAGCAGAATTATAGGGATATATCAGATAGATTTGCACCAGGGTTTCCAGAAGCTTGAATAAATACTGTTCCATTAGAAGAGATTAGCTATGAGGCAAGCAAATAAATGTACTCATGATTATCAGCAAGCACATCATAACTAAAGTTTCTAGGTACAGAAATTTCCAACAAGATGAGTGTCTAGAATACGTCAGGTGGCCCATCTAGCCTTGTGCTCTCTATTTTGACTCATGTTCACTCTCCAGAGGCTCAGTCAGAGGTCCTTCACATCACTGAGAACCTCTCTCAACATACTGTAAGATCCCAATTCTAAGTTGGGATGAGTTGGATTGATTCTCTATGCCAAGCCAGAATGTGGCTTGCTTTATGGTGCTGAACTGAGACGCATGGGATTATTCAACAAACCATGGTCAAACAAGCCTCTCACATCTTCTACTGATCTGCGAAGGGCTATGAATTTAGCTCCACTGTCAGAAGAAGAAGTCTTTCTGGCTTCTGAAAAGGGTGCTGCAAAGGAGTTGAAGTCCGCACATCTTCAGGTTGCCATGTTTAAGAAACACTGCTCTAAACTCTTCAGTTAGGACAAAGAAAGATGAAAATTATCACCCATGAGTAGACATGATAAAAAGTATAACTGTGAGAAGGGTTTTGCAGTAGCTGCATGGGTATGCAGGCGCTCAAGATTTATACAGGAATGGCCCCATTAATTCTTCAGGTCCCCATTCTTCTTTAAAATGTATTTTGTAGAGAGCAAGGATGGCTTTCATGAACAATAGTAAATTAGTGCAGTAGATGCCTCCCAGAGTTGTGGGTGCGCCAATAGATTGCCTCCCAGAGTTGTGGGTGCTCCATCACTGGAGGTTTTCCAGAAAAGATTGGGCGACCATTTGTCTGAGATGGTATGAGGACTCCTGCCTTGGGCAGAGGGTTGGACTAGAAGACCTCCATGGTCCCTTCCAACCCAAGGATTCTGTGCAGTTTTTAATGCACAGTGGAATGGGTATGGAAACATGGCTGCAAGCCAATTTATTAAGCTCACCCAATTTCCAGATTTTTCCTTTCTTCATGCAGAGATAGAAAGAAATGTAGACTCCTGATATTAAAGAGTGGATTCAAGAGATGTGTATTCTACTGAAAAAATTAGAAGATGGAGCAATATACTTTTATATTAAATATAATATAAAGAACTGAATTCTATATAATATGTATCTGTTTTTTCTTCCGTTTTAGTTTATTTTAAGAACCATTACGTATTCATTTTTCTTGATTGTATTATTTACTTTCTGTTTAAATAAAGAGCAGTTTGAGTATCAGCGAAACCTCATCAGAAAAGACAGCCACTTTCACTTTTCCAGCTAACTGCTTTGCAACAATAATTGCCTCAATGGAGTTGTCACAGTGGCTGTTCCTGAAACAAATTTTACTTTCCAATCCTGCAGAGATATAGGGGGGTTTTAGGAACATTTCTAGCTAATGGAAGATACAAGGCAACATTAAAATCACCTACCACAATAAAATATTGTGTGGTAATTAAAAGTGAATCATTTAAAAAAAGATCTATGACATATTTCAAGAACATTCTTTGTGGGCCATAGAAATCGTTCAAAGCGATTACAAAAGAATAAACACCTTTTGTAATATCATACATTGATTTTGGCATGGCTTTTAAACTAAATAGATAATAGAACCCATAAATAGATGTTTGCCCAATCCATTTTGGGTTTCCCCCCCAAACCCTGTTCATTCAGTAAAATATGATTTATTGCAACAAAACTACATTGAAATATAATTTCTCAATCTTACTATGATTTTCCCTCCTTCTCAGTCCTGAGCCCATTTACATTCCAAATGATTACTTTAAAAGAGTGTAACTAAATAGCATTCCTCAAACTCATTACAGGCCTTGTGTACCATACCAAGTTTAATAGCTACAAAATACCCAAAGAGCAGGCATTTACATAATTTATGTGGATCTGAATTAAAAATAGAAGGTAAGACAAAGCATGCTGAATTAAAAAAACCCAAACCACGTCCACACAAATAAAACAAGAAAAAAAATTTCATTAACCTCACTTAAGCTCAGATCCCACTGCACCAACCAACCCAGCCCTGAACAACGTAAGATACAAAATAAAACAAATATGCCTCTGCGCTCTTAGTCTGAAAAAAAAAAAAAAGCAGGATATAAATAACTCACCACTGAACAACCTAATTAAATAATATCCATCACAGGATCAGAGCAGATGAGAAAGGAAGTCATCTAAGTGGTCATTAG